CCCCAAAACCCCAAAACCCCAAAACCCCAAAACCCCATAAATAAAAAATCAGGCATAAAATAATAAAGGGTTTTAAGAAAATGAATGCATTAACACAAAACTTTGTTAGCAATGAATCATCTTGCTTCTTTGCTAACATTTTGAAGCAGTCTCCTTTGGGTGAACCTCAAACACAAGACAGGACTGGTTATACTGGAAACACTTTCTCAGAACTTGTGGTATGCTTCCTTTCACAACTTCAGGTTTCTATTACCTTTATATTTCATTATTTCAGAAATTTTCTAGTTTTTAAGCAAACCTTACTATATTTATCTAGGAAATGGCTTTAAATCAGCAAAAAGTAAGGAACAGCCATACTCAGAAGGCTAATAAGTACTTGGACCAAAGTAACCAGTTCAGGGAGGAATCTTCCTTATTCTCCTATGCTGATGACTGTGATCTGGAGAATAATTTTACAGAAGAAGATGTCTCTATTTCAAAAACTAAAACTTCTGCATTTTCATCCAATCCTCTTACGATCAACAAAGGAAGTGTAAAAACACAAGATAAGGAATCTTTCTTGTCAAAAGTGGGAAAATCTAGTCCCCAACCAAAGCCAGCCACAGTTGATATTTCTAGTGAAAAGGAAGAGTTCTCCTTCAGGAATGCAATGAATAACAACTCTACCTTTTCATGAAGATTTGGGGAATCAGTGGTTCCAGAGAATGATGGGAAGAGGAAATCTCTCTTTAAGCCTCAGAGCAAGTTCAAGAGAAGTAAGAGATGTAAGTATTTTCATTGATGGCTCGTTTTCGTATTTGAAATGAAACTTTTTGTTAGATTTAATTAAAATTTCTTGATGAACGTTCTTCTGAATTTTTATCATGATTTTTACTAAGCTATATCTTTCTAAATACATATTATAGCTGTTTCACGTAGAGGAAAGAAAGTTAGGAAGACCAGAGCTATCAGTGAAGCTAGGTCAAGCAAATCGGAGGATGTGGCTAGATCACCTATTATCAAAGGAAAATTTAGGGTCTGAAATCAATTTGGCAGAAGGAACTTGTTCCTTGAGTCTTAATATTCTCAGATCACTTATAATTAAAGATCTTGATATCTATATAATTACTTAATTAACAAGTTTCAAATAAGATTTCTTTCCTCTAGCTTCGGTTTGATGAAAAATAAGTTTTGGGTATTCAAATGAAATAAGGCAGTTCTCAAAACCATGAGCCATCCCAGCCCTTAGACTAGGTTTAACCTCTTCAATATGCAAATTCGTGCCTTCAGAGCATAACAACTTTGGTATTTTAGAAACATAAAAGGTGAAATAGTTCACTTAGTTTCTCCAAATTGTGCTCATATAAAATATTGTGAAATTTTCATGAAGCAGTTTGAACTTGAAATTTCAAGTTTAAGACAGCTAGGACCTTCCAAATCTATACGGGATCTCTCTCTGCTTTATTCCAAATGTTAAGACACTCTCCGAGCTTGAGTGCATTCAGCCAGTCCTTAGTTTGTTAGCGATAATAGTGATATATCTATGTGACTAAATTCTTGGTGACCCTTCAAGAAAGCTATAAGGAATCTGAAAACACTCTAATTGAATTGAGTTCGGTAATAAATTGAATTGGGATTGGAGGATGAGCTTCATCTAGGGACTTAAAGTTAAATTTATTTATTAGTATTCTTAGTTTAGGTAGGGTTAGACTAGGACATTTCAAAGAGGACATTACGGAAATTTAGTGCTTCAGAGTATTTTAATGGCTATTGAGACTTATTGGGCCTAAAGAGAAGAACTAAAACATTTAATAGCAACCCAGACTTATAATTATTGAGCAGAAATTTATGGTGAAATGTTTCTAGAGTCTACTACTTGGTTTAATTTTCTGTAATTTTTCATAAAATTTAATATTATTTCTTTAGTAAGAAGATTTGACAGTTAAATCTGAGGTCGTAGAGTCTCAATTCCACTAAAAAAGATGCTTTATGTCTTATAAATGTCCCAATAATCCGCAGGTAAAAGTGGCAAACAAGACTTAATTTCATAATTGTTGACAAACTGCTAATAGAGCTAAAAAATTATTCTTAATTAATTATGAAAATGGAGAAATAAAGCATAAAGAAAGATTATTTATGATATATGCATTAGGATGCTTGGAGGCCAGAATACTAGCATCCAAACAATACGGTTATAGTATTTTCCTTTCTTGAGACTGCTAGTTAAATAGAATTTTCAAAAAAAATTATGAGAAGGATTTGTGTAATTCATCACCAAAATTTTCTAGATGGATTTTTTTACAAAAATACTCTGAAAGATGAGCTTTAAGTCATCCAAAATTTTAAGGTAGTAGTAGGCTGTTTTGATTCATTAAATAACCATTTGTAATACATTCCTCAGTTACTGAGTCTTAATTTAAAGAAAATTTAAGCCCTAAAATGCAGTATTAAATCTTCTAAATCGAACAATTTTCCCCTCAAAGTCCAAATAAGTTCAAAATCTCTTTATAAACACCCCTTATTCACTCACTAGCCCTTTCGTTATTTCTGGAGTATAAGCTCTATTACTATCCAAGGAGGTTATTTCAATGTGAAGAGTCTAAACCGGGGTTTTGGGGTTTTGGGGTTTTGGGG